CTTAGCAGCTCCACGTCAAACGTCACAATTGTACTAAATATTTCAAACAAATTCTGCTAGCACTCAAGGTTTTTTTTGCAGAACTGAAAAATGAAAAAAATCTGTATTGAACAAATGTAAAAACGATAGGGATAGACTACACTAAAATGCTTAAAGTATGGGCGTTTTGCCTGACACAACTACGTTGGGGAGGGCTGTAACCCCGTTGCCACAGCCAAACTTATTTTTGTGCTTTGACTTTTATTAGCATCTTTCATATACAATGGAAACACTAACGGTAACTATAAAGAAGGGGTTTGAACTGTTTCATTTAAAAATGAAAAAAAAAACATTATTTTAGAAATTTTTGCTACTTTCTGGTAGTAGGGTTGTGGGATGTTCATTATCAGTCATTCTCATATTTGTTGCAGCGCTGGTGAGAAACGCCTGAATGTCTTAAATCGTAGTAGAAAACTTGCGCTGCTGTTCAGTTTAAAATTTAGTCCCAGATTCCCACTTAATTCCTTTACCGTGAGGAACATAAACTTTTGGATCAACTTCTAGCGCTGCTTCTATTCAAAGTTGAGGTTTTCTAATGAGGGAACACTAAAATATTTCCCCTCTAAAATATACTGAGAAGTAGCAGTATACAAATTACTAGAAGATTCAGACTGGATACTGCAGTGAGAACACAATTTGCCTGGCAATTTGCACGCAACTGAACGGTGATAAGAAAACTTTTATATATACGTCCTTTGAACGTTACAGAGCACAATTTTAGCCAAAACACATAAACTAAACAAAACTTATGTGGCATTAATGTTTGCTCGCTTCAGATTCAGTAGCCCACTTTTCGTATTATAACCTATGATCTCACTGCAGTAGCATTTCCAAACTTTCAACCCATCTATATATTAGTGTTCTTTGGCAAATACTTTTTTTTTTTTAAAAACCCCAAAATTATTTTGTTTCCGAATTTTTAAAATACTCTATTTAATCTTATCTGTACGACGTCCAATGCATATTTTTTCTTTATTTACTGAGCTATTGTTGGAAGGTTTATATATGTATATTTTTCTTACTTTTTTTGGATTCTGCCAAGTGTTTGCCTGAATCTGCAAAATTTTTGCGAAAATTAAGTCTGTAGTGCTTTTAATAATGTACTTTTTAGGTTGGAAAGTAGACAAACACTCGGCAGAACCCAAAAATAAAAAAAAAACGTTGTAGGTAGATGGCCAAAAAAAAAAAAAAGTTATTTTTACTCGGAAAGTAACAAAACCAGTAAACCAAAAAAATGAACGCAATAACACATTTTGGCTAATAACTGAACGAGGAAATTAAATTTCAGCAAAATTTAACAAGTAACTTGTTGCCAGAAGCAATTATATATATAATTATATTTATATATATTAATTATGTATATTTATATAAATTTATATACTGTGCTACCAAATTCAACTATTTTCGCAATATGCATTAATAGTTCATATCGATAGAAAAGTCCAATACCTTGACTCTGGTCTTCTAAACTAGCCAGGATTAAAAATACAAAGCTTCAGGTCCGGAAGCTTCATCATACCAAACCGGATGCCGCTTCTCAAGAATATGCAGATAAAACTCAGCGTCGAAAAACCCTGAGTAATAAAAATCGGCCTTTTGTACGATGGAAAAAAGTTGATCAGTGAGTTAAGAGCACCGCTCAACGTGAACAGTTTCCAGTGCACACCGAAAGACTACACAAAGTTTCATGGAAATTCATTTTGCTGGAATGTTCATCACTTCCACGTTCAACAACAACCTAAGCGCTCCGAAGCGGCACTCACGCAACAAGCTTTCAAGAATCGAAATGAAGCACCAAACTGGAAACTAATTTAAGAAAAACTTCCTTAACCTTTCGCAAAACTGAGCTTTTTCCAAATCCACTTCTCTGCAAACGACAACAATGATAACCGTGAACAAAACCAGGTGGTAATGTACCATCAATAAAACGCTGAAGTTTCGATGAGGACGAAAGACGACAACTAAAGTACAAGCCGAAACAGCCGAAATATTGTGCAAGGTCTGCATGCTGAAGTAAAACCACGATGCCCAATCTTATCCCATGGAAGAAATAGCACTACTGCAACGCTCAACAACATGTAAAGGCCATCTAAACGTCGCACAGTTCAGCTCTTATGAAGATATCCTCCAACAAGAACTTCTAAGGAGCACCCACACTGGCCGAATTTCCTTAATACACCATCTCAATGTGTCATAAGCGGAGATGAACAGAGAAATGGTTCAATCATGAGTCGCAGCCAAAGCTTTATTATCTATATTGGTTTCTAACTTGATTTGAACAACTTCGAGAGCATAATACAAAAAAATAATTAAATAAATAAATTAACTAATTAAAGAAATAACAGTAGACTGCGGATATAAACTCTCCTCTGACCAACTGCTTCCTTTTAAATACGCCAAGAGCATAAAAGTTCTCAAAGCATTAGTAATCCTTCATCTAAACCACACAGCTAAGTGCAACACCAAAATGGCTAAGATACAAACCCTGTAAAATAATGAGATTCAAAAAAGCGGTATTAACTCTTCCATACTTCACTTTATAAAAGCGACACAGTAACAGCAAGAACTGTTGTTAATGAAATCTAACTGATTTTTCAGGAAATGTAACAAACATACTTACATACCCGTATTTGTGACGTAAAAGCAAATTATGACTAAAGCTTAAACCCTAGTAATAAATAACAAGAGCACGGTTGCCTAAACTCGAAACAACAACTGCACGCAATAAGCACAATAAGGTAGACAACAAGAAAAAACAAAAGGAATTACTTAGTGAACGGTTGCACTACTTAGCACATATATAAAAAGCAATAAAATTTCCAAGCTAATTATTATGTCAAAGACAAAATGCGCATTTAGTTACATAAATGTCAGTACAGGAGTTTGAGAAAAACTGTTTAATTTGTTCGACAAAACGATCTACCGCTGAGGCTGTTCTGTAGAGGCCTCAACTTCTGCTTTTGAATTATGATCTTTTCTAAACAAATCGTATAGTCGAAGTTTCGAAAACACGTAGCTGAAGTCGATATATGGTGAAATAAGCATGAATAAAATCCAGAGCGTTAAAGCAAAACCTGCCCTTGTCCTTAAAAGCTATTTTACAAAATGCTGGAATTACTTGGCGGGCGGAAAAAATGAGTGCCCAGGTTCAAAATAAACTGTTTTGATAACCTTCTTTTTAAGCAAACTCAAAAACTTTTTACCTTGTCCCCGTAAGGGGCTTCACAAAATCCAAGGCTACCGATATTATAAATAAGATTAGCTTAAGCAATTCTACGAGAATGTTTGCTGCAGAAAGAAGTACAGGTCCAAATAAAGATTGAGGACGCGTTTCCACCCACTCCTTCATACTATTTTCTACTCGTATTACCTAATGAAAATAGCTATTTAGCTGGTGATTCTACGAGAACTGTTTCAACAAAAATTCTCTATCCAAGCAAAAGTATCTTTTGGTGAAATCACCTTAAACAGTTCATAATCGACATGTAAAAGAAACCTTACTTTGTTTTCAGTACTTTCGATGCTTTCTTCAATCGCTCGAAATCTTTCACAGTACTGATAATCCATTCTGGTTCCAATAGTATTTAAATCTGACTTTAATGATGTCATTTCTGCCTGATGCAGTTCAATGGATTCGTTCAACAGTTCTTCAAGCCTCTTAAAAATCAACAGTAAAAATTTTTTTAACAAAAATCCCTTAACAGCAACTTTAAAAAAAAAAAACTGCTGATAAACTAATTTTGTCCACCCAAAAATATTTCTTTTGGCTATATTCCCACCCAGTTATTGGATTCCTTCATGCTCCTTCCAAATGTATTTAAACATTTTTCTCGTAACCACAGTTCTGCAAAGCTGCATTTTTGATGACGAGGTGATGCAAAAAACATACGCTTTTCTTATAAGCTTTCGAGCCACACTCTAAAAGAAACCATTTGGCATTCGTCTGCTAACGTATTTCGAATCCACCTTTCCCCCACTACTATTAAAATCAGTTGTAAGAAAGACGGTCTAACGCCTGCACATTTACTGGCAGCAGTATTCAAAATCATGCTTTCTAGTCCAAAATGCTTCCTTATTCCTAACGATTAGCTCTCACAAAAGATTAAAAGAGAGTTTGGCCGCGAAACTAAATAAATCGGGTACGTAAAAGAGTGAATATCTTTTTCAATAGTTGTGTGCCTCGATGGGACTTCGATGATTATTCAAGGGCCCTCTGCTTTTGCAAATGAAAATGTCACTTGAAAGTGCAGAACCATTGCCTGCTTCAGCAACTGATAAGCGCTCAGATGTCTTAACGCTGAAATAGCTTCTCTTCTTCTGAGAAATTTCTCGAACCATTATTCTCACATTTGCCGCAACTGCCTCAGCCTAACATAATCCGCTGGTAGCAAACTCAATGTCAGTGTGACAAGCTTAGCAGAATCTACTGGTGAGATCACGTCTGTCTTCATTTAAACTCTTCATCAATGAGGAAATTACAGGACAGAGAAGTATGTTAAATCTAGTGATATGAATGCTTCTAAACCAGAACATTCCAGCTTTTCATGTTATGGTATACAGTGGCTAATAAATAGAAGTGCAATATCTGCAGAGAATCATACCTTAAAAAATATCCCCAAATATCTCGTTTTTTTTCAGATTAGAATAAGGGAAAATACAAAAATTTTTCCAAATCACCTGTAGAAACTGTGTGATTGAATCACTTTCAAAAAAAGCTGTCCAGAAGTTTTCCTCACAAAAAATGTCTTTTTTCCTGCTCATAAGGCAAAAATGAATTTTCGTCCAAGAACAACAGTACCAAAACTGAGCAAACATTTCATCAAATATAGAAAAGATAATATTGTAGGATTTCCAAAAGGTCAAGTGCAAAAAGCAGAGAACATTTGGCATATCCAACGAAGAGCCAAAAGCATACTGATGCTAGGCGTTTCTACCCAACCGTCAGGTAATGCGCAGTTTTTTTTCCTTATTTTTAATTTTTACTAAGCTTACTTTTAGCATAAAAAATTGCCTGGCTTCTTCAAAAACTTCAATACAACAGAGAAAATTGCGTTTCAATTTACCCAAAATTATCAGTTGCGACTGCGTGCAAATCAAACTTATAGGGGGTACCTCAAAGGGATTCCTAGATAAATTTTGCTGACAATTTTTTGGTCTCTTTCATAAATTTTCCAGTTCTAGTGACACACAAAATCTAAGAATAAAAAATACTGACATCACCTTGTCTCCTCATTTCCTTCCTCTAGCGTCTAACTCCGCCGTGTTCGTATGAACTTCTCATATTTTCAAATTTACCCCGCCCTCACTACATGAAATGCCATTTCACCCTCAAGAATTTGAACAAAGAAACGTGTGCTATAGTGCTAAAGACACTGAGATAAAGCGGTTTACTTAAACTGTTAAAGACAATCAAAAATGTATTGAGACCCTCATAAAAAACTTAGGAGGAAGATGTTTTGGGTGGGCAGGAATAACATTAGCAAGATAATACGGAAATTAAACAATGTCTTTGTATACTGGCAAAGTATTCCAAAATGAGATTTTCAAAATAAGTCGAAAAAAA